CACGAAGTTTCAATTGCACTGTATGTGTGCGCCCGCACATGGTATTTTGTGGAAGAGCCACACTCAAGGGGCCAAAGAACCACATGTGGCTCTCGAGCCGCTGTTTGCCGACCACGGTCCTAGGGCAAGGGAAACAAAGTAAAAAATAAACAAATGGAACTACATTGAAATAAAAAGCTTCTGCACAGCAAAAGAAACCACCAACAAAATGAAAGGGAGCCCATTGCATGGGAGAACATGTTTTCCAATGATACATCTGATAAGGGGTTAATATCCAAATATATATACAACTCAATAAAAGGAAGACAAATAACCCAATTTAAAAATGAGCTTGAATAGACTTCTCCAAAGAGGACATACAGATGGCCAATAGACATGAAAAAATGCTCAATGTCACTAGTGATCAGAGATGCAAATTAAAACAACAATGAGGTATCACCTCCCACCTTTCAGAATGGCTACCAGCAGCAAATCAACAAACAACAAGTGCTGGTGAGGATGTGGGGAAAAGGGAACCCTAGTTCACTGCTGGTGGGAATGCAGACTGGTGCAGCCATTATGGAAAACAGTGTGGAGTTTCCTCAAAATAAAAAAAAAAATGGAATTGCCATTTGACCCAGTGATCTCACTTCTAGGAATATATCCTAAGAAATCTGAAACACCAATCAGAAAGAATGCATGCACCTCTGTGTCATAGCAGCACAATTTACAATAGCTAAGATCTGGGATCAGCCCAAGTGCCTATCAGTTGGCGAGTGGATAAAAAAACCTGTGGTACATTCACACCCTGGAATACCAGGCAGCAGTAAAAAAGAAGGATCTGTTACCCTTTGAGTCAGCATGAACGGACCTGGAGATTACTAAGCTAAGCAAAATAAACCAGTCAGAGAAAGACAAACATCATTTGTATGCTCTAACTTACATGTGGAATCTAATGAACAAAATAAACTGACAAACAAAACAGGACCACAGACATGGAAGCATGGAACAAACAGATGAATCTCAGAGGGAAGGGGGGCCGGAGGGGGCTGGGAAGAGATCGACCAAAGAAGTTATATGCATCGTCCATGGACACAGCCAATAGTGAGGGAAGTACTGGGGTGGAGCAGGAGCCGGGTGGATGGGGGAAGGAGGGGCTTAATGGGGGACATCTGTAACAGTCTCTACAATAAAAATAATTTACTCTTGGGTCTTATCGGGGGTCAATAGACAGAACAGCCTGTAAAGAACATTCTGCACCCTTTATAAGACTATTGCCAAGGACCTTGTCTGTATTTGCTTCATGGTCCTTTCCATGGGGATCATCTGATAGGCCCCCTTATAAACACTTCGAGGAAGTTGGGTTTCATGATGCCTGCCTGGCTTCCTGTTAGGAGACTGTGAGATGAATTGTTTATCCTGGTTTCTCTTTGCCTTTGCTACTGAGAAGCTTAGAATCAAATTTTGTGCTCAATTAAGGGGAGTCCCTTTAGCTGAGCTTCTCTGTCTTATTGACTAGTATTACCATCTATCTATCTGGCAGAAGTCAGAAATCCCAGACAATATTCTAGAATTTTCTGTCTCCTTGTGGCAATTACCCATCTTGGAGATGTTCCCTTTGAAATCTTCCTCTCTCTGGTCTGTTCCTCTCTCATTTCATGCTTGATTGCCCCAATAGCCTAACTGGGCTCCCTGAACTTCATCCTACCCTAACCCTTCACACATACCCCCAGCTAAAAGCACCTGCATCTTCACACTAGCAGGGCAGGTGGTTTTCTTACAGGCCAGTCTGATCTTGTTACCTCTACTGATCAAAACACTTCCACAGGAAGTCTCAGCTCTTTCGCTTCTCTGCATGTGTCTCCATCTGCCTCTCTCAACTCCCACCTTCCTTCACTCCAGCCGTCCT